TCAGTAATATAGTGCCAATTCATTCTTGTTGTTGCGCTTGATCTCTCCAAATCAATAAGTAAATGCCGAATGGTTCATTGTTCTTCACCTTCTCCCAAAGCCGTCCAAATACCTACGTTTCCCTATTTGGGTTCGTCTGAAAATGGGTCGCCTGAATTCCAAAGGTCATTGTTGTAATTTCTATTCATTTCCCATTTTCCTATTCCGACATATAGGCATAGATAACATACATAGATTCTGTACTGTATGCATACGTTATCTGGAAAATTCTTGACGATGTCACCACAGCGTCACTCGAAATGTTGAGGTAGGGGTAACTATCCCCAAATCCAACCTTGTTTCCGGTTGGTGAATTTCTATCACTAAAACGCAATATAAAGAAAAATAAATAAATACATACACACACATATATATATATAGCTGATACATAAAAGGCACTACAGATCCTAATGTATCATATACTATAATATGAACATGTGCCACTACAGTCGGATTATATAATATATAAAAGTACATTATAGTATCTTGAAAGATTAAGTACTGTCATAGAATATGCACAAAGAACAAAAACAACATTATTGGGGTAACATTATAGGTTACTTGTACAATACATTATATGTACATAATATATACGGCATTATCATGTAACAATAAAGATATTTACACACACACATACACATATGTTTATATATGCAATATATAGTAACATATGTTATACAGTTACATTGTATGTACCTATTATCATATAACCGTACATTCTATGGTGGGCAAAACAATAATAAACCACCCATTTGGGAATGGTAACCATACCTATAAAAATGGTGATGACCGGGGGATGGTGCAAATGGCATTGTTTCAACCACATTACATCATATATACCCTCTGGTAAACTAACATAGCTATTGAACATTGCCATAGAAATAGTGGATTTACCCATGAAAAATGGTGGATCTTTCCATAGTTATGTAAGAAATTACCAGAAGGTAATCATTATTATCCCATATAAACCACTTATAGTTAACTAGTTCGATATATCAGATATTATATCACCTATAAATCAACTATAAATAGCCGTTTTCAATAGCTATGTAACAAATTACCAGAGGGTAACAGGTCAAGTAACTCCATGGCCAGGTGACAAAGACGACCAGCTGAGTGCCTCCCAACTTCGCGCCCGCCATGGCGTCCAAAACGGCACCGCGGGCGGTGGGGGCGATGGCGGAATGCGCCTCGGCGGCATCGAGGAATGGGGCATCCATGGAAAAATGTAGAAGTGAATGGAATTAGTGTCAAACCCTTCAATGAAGTTAAAACTAGAGTTTAGTAACATGTAGTAAAATCCAATCCTAAAATAGTGGTACATCTAATGTTTTCTATCGTTTTGGGGTGCTATACTGTCACAAATGAGGATCCATGCCAGAAATATTGATGATCATGAAACACACGCCAAGAAAGCATGGTGTTAGTATTGGATTCATCCATTCAACTGGTAGGTAACATTCCCAAATCAGCAATCTAACCTTTTGCTATGTTATCACATTTTATCAGGTTTGACTGGTCCTACTTCGTAAGGTATGAGAAGACACAATTTAAAAAAGTGGCAGGGGCCGCTCTCCGCAAATAGTTTGGAATGGGAAGATTGCTATGTTACGGTTTTAACTTTGTGATTTGCATGTGCTCAGAGGCATTCCCCTTCGAATCTCTGGTCAGTTCTTCCTGGTGCTGAAAGTGGTACACCCCAAAATGGCATTTGCACAGGGAAAATGATGAGAAACCACTGGATTTTTGGGTACCATATTTTCAGACAAACCAATATTTTCTTTTGACAAAAGCTCAGCATTTCTTTTTTGAGATACCACCAGCCCCGCTACTGCAGGATAGGGTGTCACACAGTGGCATTTTGACCCACGAGAAGCCAATGGCAGCAACTTCAAACGACCAACCGTTGGCTCTGTAGACTGTTCTGACTATCAACTGGGTTCAAATGGATTCAACCCCACACACCCCAGGAATCATTAGAATTCTGCCAGGAATCCGGTGATTATTATTGGCGTTATTGCCGTCGTCGTTGCGATTGTGGTCATTGGCATGAAGATGTCCGGACAATCATCCTAGGCACTGGCGGCCAGGGCTCGACCGAGTTTTTAGAATACGAAAGGAGCAGAAACTCCACGGGTTGACAGTCTTGGGAGTGAATCATTCCATTGTCGCAAAGAAGCTGTGACTTAAATCGGTTCTGGTGCCTCGTTTTTTGAAGTCTATATCCTTGACACGCGCCTCTTTTTTGTGCAGCCAGGCCACAGAAGAGCGTGCAGTGATCGGTTCCTGAGAATGAATTCGGGACACAGCCAGCCCACATAAAGGGCGTCTCAGCATCCTGCAGCTGCCATGGCAGTCCAACTTCTCAGATCCCCAATTCTCAGCCACAGATGGTGGATGACCACCCGACAATTTGCCAACGACATCTCAATGTTCACTGACAAATTCCAAGCAATGCCCCAGTAGAGAGATTGTGTTTGTGACACCTGCTTTCTCAACAAAAAACAGAAGAGATGACGAAACAGGCCACGGCAACCGGCTATGCAGAGTCCTGCTGCAGGGATGTTACCAACTGTCCGCGGCAAGCCAGAAAAGTTCAGGAGCTTAAGGTATTGATGATGTCGTTGTTGTGGTTGTTGTCGTGGTTGTCGTGGCTGTCGTGGTTGTTGTGGTTGTTGTGGCTGTTGTGGTTGTTGTGGTGGTTGTGGTCGCTGTGGCGGTTGTGGTGGCTGTGGCTGTGGCTGTTTCTGTGGCTGTGGCTGTGGCTGTGGCTGTGGTTGTTGTTGTTGTTGTTGTTGTTGTTGTTGTTTTTGTTGTTGTTTGTTGTTGTTTGTTGTTGTTTGTTGTTGTTTGTTGTTGTTTGTTGTTGTTTGTTGTTGTTTGTTGTTGTTTGTTGTTGTTTGTTGTTGTTTGTTGTTGTTTGTTGTTGTTGTGTTGTTGTTTGTTGTTGTTTGTTGTTGTTTGTTGTTGTTTGTTGTTGTTTGTTGTTGTTTGTTGTTGTTTGTTGTTGTTTGTTGTTGTTTGTTGTTGTTTGTTGTTGTTGTTGTTTGTTGTTGTTTGTTGTTGTTTGTTGTTGTTTGTTGTTGTTTGTTGTTGTTTGTTGTTGTTTGTTGTTGTTTGTTGTTGTTTGTTGTTGTTTGTTGTTGTTTGTTGTTGTTGTTGTTTGTTGTTGTTGTTGTTGTTGTTTGTTGTTGTTTGTTGTTGTTTGTTGTTGTTTGTTGTTGTTTGTTGTTGTTTGTTGTTGTTTGTTGTTGTTTGTTGTTGTTTGTTGTTGTTTGTTGTTGTTTGTTGTTGTTTGTTGTTGTTTGTTGTTGTTTGTTGTTTTGTTTGTTGTTGTTTGTTGTTGTTTGTTGTTGTTTGTTGTTGTTTGTTGTTGTTTGTTGTTGTTTGTTGTTGTGTTGTTGTTGTTTGTTGTTGTTTGTTGTTGTTTGTTGTTGTTTGTTGTTGTTGTTTGTTGTTGTTTGTTGTTGTTTGTTGTTGTTTGTTGTTGTTTGTTGTTGTTTGTTGTTGTTTGTTGTTGTTTGTTGTTGTTTGTTGTTGTTTGTTGTTGTTGTTGTTGTTGTTGTTTGTTGTTGTTTGTTGTTGTTTGTTGTTGTTTGTTGTTGTGTTGTTGTTGCTTGTTGTGTGCTTGTTGTTGCTTGTTGTTGCTTGTTGTTGCTTGTTGTTGCTTGTTGTTGTTGCTTGTTGCTTGCTTGTTGTTGCTTGTTGTTGTTTGTTGTTGTTTGTTGTTGTTTGTTGTTGTTGGTTGTTGTTTGTTGTTGTTTGTTGTTGTTTGTTGTTGTTTGTTGTTGTTTGTTGTTGTTTGTTGTTGTTTTTGTTGTTGTTTGTTGTTGTTTGTTGTTGTTTGTTGTTGTTTGTTGTTGTTTGTTGTTGTTTGTTGTTGTTGTTGTTGTTTGTTTTTTTTTTTGTTGTTGTTGTGGTTGTGAATGTTAATCTTAATGTTGGTGATGATGCTGATGATACTGATGATGTTGATGACTCTGATGGTTATGACGATGCTGGACAAGATGACGACGACGGTGACAGCGACGGCGACCGCGACGAGGATGATGATGATGATGATGATGATGATGCTGGTGGTGGTGATGATGATGATGATCAGGATGAGGATGATGATGACGATGACGACGATGCGGCGCCTCAACCATGCTGTCACCTTGCGCCCTTACGCAAAAGGACATATCAATGTAAACTCAGCTGTGAGTGACTACATTTGATTGCTTTTTGTGAACGGCGGTGGAAGAAACCCATGGCAGGTTTTGCTCAGCCCAGATGACGATGTGTTTCCTGGCGTTGAGCTTTTGGGAGAGCATCTGTACCTGACGAAGCTAGTTTTCGCAATCGAACGCAAAGGAAAATGCATGAGCATCCGGCCCCTTCTTTTTGCCTCAGATTTTCCCTCCATGTTAGATTGCAGGAGAGTACCGCGTGCCTCCCCATTTGCCGGGTTTTTGCTGGTGATGTATCAATGGAAAATCGATGAAAATCGTGCTTTTGCAGATCTCTGTGCGAAAGTTCGCGCAGTTTTTCGCGATCTGCCAAGGCAGAAGATCCAGGCCACGTTCTTCCAGAACGCTGCCAAGAAACTGTCGGATGAAGCCCAAAAGCTCTGGTGTCCCGCGGGGCCGCAGGACTGCCAGCTCTGGGGATTCTGGGGGTTTTAAAACGGAGGATTTTGGGTTGCTTCAACTGACCAAAGGTCGAAGAGTCAACTTTGAATCCACCTGGAGAACTATAGAATATATAGAATTTCCACCTGATAATCAGATCATTCTGACTTTGGGCCCTTCCAAGCAGGTTTTTCGATACAGACAACTTCCGATTCTTGGACGACTCCCAGCAGTTTTTTCCTCACTTGGATGTGCATCCTAGCAGTGGTTTATAATCCATTGATCTAACTGGGCTATTTCAGTTATGATCCATTTGGTTGTTTGCATTTTCCCCGGATATAAACCATATTAAATGCATATATGATATATATGCATTCAACAAACCTTCCTCAACAGATTCTTCTGCTCGTTCTATACCCCATCCCCTTTCTAAATTATTCTCATGATTTCTTCGTTCCCAGGACCGCAACGCCTTGCGCAGCATGACCCGCGGCACTGCGCAGATTCTGCGGGCGCAATTGGAGGTCCCCTTGGGCGGCACGGGGCCCTTGGAAGCGCCCAGGTGTCTTGACTTCACCGAGGCCTCCAGTGAACTAACGGAACTAACATAGCTATGATCCCAGTTTTCAGCTTCAGTCCTTTCAGCTGTGGTCGGCCTACCGTGGTCGGCCTTCGTCTTGAGGTTTTTGGTGGTGGAAATGGCTGCTGTCCGACTCTCAGAGGCCTTCAAAGATGTGCCTTTCAGTTTCAAATGGCTGAAAAATCGAGATGGATATGGGTCACCTGGGTCACCATCAAACATCCCCAATATATCCCGATATGAGATGAACATGCCTCCACCTTGCCTGTTCTATTCGTTTTTCCCTCCTGCTGGCTCCGAGGCTGCCGAGACGAAAGCGAGGCTGCAGCGAAAAGCCATTCCGATCCTCCTGGAGGTGGAGCGCTGCGCGCAGGGAACGGCCTGGCCCCTAACAGACGCTTGGCACGGAAAAACTGGGGCCCCTGCGTGATGGCTTTTCCATGGCAATGCCTGGGGAAAATAAACAAAATCAAGCAGTTGTGGTAAATTTCTGGGCCCGTTTTGGAAACACACCAAATCAGTTGCATTTTTGATGTGGCTGCCCCATGCAGCCCTACACGGCCCCCGCAAGGATGTACATTGCTCACGCAGAGGCATGCCGTGTTTAGTGATGGGCCAGGTGCTGAGAATTTGCTGGTGCTGAGAATTTGCTGATCCCAACTTTCCCAGCAGTTGTTTTTAGATCCCACCGCGTGTGCAACTGGGCAGTGTTCAAACTCTCTGTTGGTGGATGCCTTGTAGGGGATGATGATACTGTCCAACACATTGGGGATCATCATCATCTGTTTGGTGGTTTGGAACATTTTTTATTTTTCCATATATTGGGAATTTCATCATCCCAACTGACGAACTCATATTTTCAGAGGGATTGAAACCGCCAACCAGTTATGATGGCAGTCCCCATTAGGCAAACAGTATTGGAGGGCAGGATGTCATGAGGCGGTCATGCCGTTGAGGTCTAGAGAGTTGGACTCCAACAGCAGGAGCCACGAGAATCACCCGAAAGAGATGGCTTTGGGGCACCAGGGTGAAATCATGTCACCCATTCTTGTTTCCGCCAGCCTATATACTGTTTTCCTGACAGGAAACAAGCGCGCATCACCCACTCGTTTGCTTGCATGAGAACCATTTTTTGGCCAAAACAACTCTGGATTTCTTCAAAAAGTCGGCAGGAGAGCAGCGTGCCATGGCAAAGTCCATGAAGACTTCCACAGGCCTTGACGTGGAGGCGGGCCATGTGCCACCCCTACTCGGGTTTTAGGGAAATTGCAGCTTTGGGTAGGTAGCAGCAGTGCTTCATTTGCTAACCGTGGATCCTAAGTGGTGCTGTATATACCAAAAGATCTCGCTTTTCGTCGGCTCCTTGGTCAAAGCATATGGTGCCCATTCGCAAGTAGTGTCTGGATGATGCACTGGAGAACCCTTCATTTTGGATTCACAGTTGCTTGGCTGGCTATTCATATAGCGCGCTGCAACCACAATCTGCCGACTCCGAAACCCATTTCAAACGTTCCGTCCTCATTTAGGATGATGAAGTGACACCGTGACACCAGTTCAAACATTTTTAGATTGGTTGCGACACCAACAGCCTGCCTTCATCTCAGCACAGTCGGGCCCTCCAGTTATAAGAGTTTATAGACTCCATTAACGATAGTTACAGTTATAGCATGGAATTTACCAAGTTATTTGCATCGCAACTCGCGCCAGGTGAGACTCGTTTCGGCGGACCACTTGAGAGCTGAAATCCCATCTGTGACTGAGTAGATGGCAGTCTGTGTCCAGCTCCTGATGTAGAGTGTACAGCATCAACCGTGTACAGCTACAGCTTTGTCTGAGATCCCGCTCCAAAAAATGCCATGACAACCCACCAAACTGCGCAAGTCAAATCAGCAGGTCGGCACCACTTTGGCCCACATGGATCACCGGTTCAGAACCCCACTTCCAGCTAGAATTTGGCTGTATGGATGCTGGTGCCACATTTCACTTCAGCGAGCATTTCTACCAGAATTCTATGGCACCACTGGCCAATCTTTCTGGGATGGGTCACTCAACTACCAGCCAAACAACATATCACACTTGGATGAGCCAAGACTTCGCTTTACGTCATCAGTTTTCTGTGGTCAGGTGCCCAGTTCACCCATTTTTCAATGGTTTGCGAGTGGCATGGCCCATCGTACACCTGTATAGTCAATGTTCTGCCCATTTCAATGCGGTAAGAATTGGTACATTCAGCCCAGAAGCCACAAGGATTCTAGGGTCCACCGGGTCCACCCGGGTCCACCCGGGTCCACCCGGATCCACCCATTTGTGGATGTTTTCTCCCCAATGAACCAAGGATCATCGATTTTACGGGGGATGGGCTTCCAATACCGGCATCGCCGGGCTCCGCAGCCGTGGTTTTTCGAGAGCTGCGGGGTTCGCGGGACGCATCAAGACGATGGCGCCGTTTTTACCAGGCAGGGCATGTTGGTCCCTTTGTGAAGGTCACCGGAAACAGCCATATTTTGATGGTGAAAACATGTGGAAACAATATGGTTGATATGATACGATGGTGTTTTTTGTAGTTTTAATAATTCGCCCCTTTATCCAACACGTTGAGACATGGCATATGCATAATGCTGTATGTACCATTGTCCCCTGCGGCTTTCTAGGGGTGATAGAGGCGCTCGAGAGTTAGACGGGCCACCAAAGAAATATATTAAATATGTGGATGTATGCCCGGTATACCCTCCTGGAAAATGTTATTTAGACGAGGTAAAGGCATGGCAAAGAAACCATCAAGAATCAAGATGGATCTTGGAGGCTTTGTTCCTCACGAGCTGCGACAAAATCATCCAAAGACGCAACTCGGCAAGGACTTTCGGGACTTGCGATGATGTAGTTTGTGAACCCTTGTTTGGTGTCATGTTGGTTTCAGGATGCTCAGGCATCCCTAGTTTGGATTACCCCAATTGAACATTGTTTTGACGTTTTGATGACTTGAAACCATGAGTCCCGGAGGTATCCGGAGGTGTCATGCGGATGTTCATGGTGCATGGGCCATTCCGAGGCAGACCCTGGCTTATGGACCAGGAGGATCGATTGACAAGCCTCTGGCCGCCACGGGGATTCTTGGCCGAGTGAGCTGAGTGGTTAAGAGAGCCCCCCATTTTCTCCAATGAAAATTTGGATCCACAATATGGCAAACCAAAAGGCACTAGCCCTTATTGTTTTGCTGGTCATCATCCACAGTTGAGCTATTGAGGGTGCTCACTAGACCCTTGAGATAGTCTTCATTTATTCAGTGCTGCGCCAATCCACTGAAGATGAAGCAACTAAAACAGTTAACCATTACTGTCAGCCGGACGGCTAGAGATTTAGATTAATTTGTTAATTATATATATATAGATCAGAATCACGGTTTCCCACCACCCAGTAGCACCCAAAGATTGAAGTCCCACTACCTGTCGAGGAAGCTCATCTTGCCAAAGTTGGACCTGTCTGGGCCTCAGCTGGTTGCCCTTCTTGTTGCGGGATCAGTGAAGACCAATTCAAAACATTTCAACACCATACTTAGGGAGACGAACATTATTATTCATTATTAAACATCCATGAATCTCAGATCTCTCAGCTTTTTCAGGGTTCACCGAGGTACCGGGGTTCTGAGTCATCCCCACATAGCACCGAGTTTGTGCTGCTGAGATCCGTCCTACAGCACCTGAATGACCCGTTCCACCGCTATGACCTCACCCACCGCTCCCTGACACACGACGAAAAGAAGGACATGAAGGAGACCGCTGAGCCGGGGCTGCTGGATGTGTTGATCACTTGTTGGGCCAGTCAAATTTTGCAAATATGGTTAAATGATGTTGAATGATGTTGAATGGGCATCCAAATCATTGATTTTGATTCGATGTAACTGTTCCTGGCTTGCAACTGGATCCGGGTTTGGGGTTTGGTGCCATCAGTGGTACGGGATGGTCGTCACGGTCAGGACTCCGCACGGAACACCTACCGCCCTGAACTGCAGCCTGCCTGGTTGAAACACGATCGTCAAGTTCTGCGGTTTCTTTGGCGGCACGGAGCGGGGGTCTCCTTGGATCACTGGAGTTGGCCCCATGTGGTTATGTAACTTGCTGACAAGCGGTGCTACAGTGACTAGACTGTGACTAGATCTCTCTCTCTCTCTACATTTTACCTATTTTGCCCCACTTCAAGAATCACGTATATAATTGATTGCAGGCAACATCCAGGATCTCTGTGGCAGCAACTGCTCTGAGGTTCTATGCGTACTTCCAGGAAGCGGTCCATGAGAATCCTAAGGACTGACCTGCAGGGGGCCAGTCGCATGGCAGTGGGATACTGATGGATTCTGTATCCGAATCCATTGGCGTGCACAGGAGAAATCCGGAGAAAGCCACAAAACAACATGTAACATCATGTTAAAAATGTATATATACAAAATGTAAAAATGTAAGTACACACACATGGACGATTTTCATATATTTTCATATATATTTCTCACATATTTTCGCACACACACACATATATAATTATATATATATACATACATATATATATCTATATCTGTATTTTCCGAAGGTGTCACCTTGGTTTACCTTCTTCAATGTCCTTCATGACTTCAGTCCTTCCGTCTGGCCGCCACAGGAGAGCTTCAGGATTCGGGGATGCCACGTCCTGTTCTACTTGGCACCTCGGAGCATCCCAGGAGCCAGTTGGAGCTACGCTTTTTTTTGAGGCTCCCAACTCTAGTAACTATGGTAACTATGGTAACTATTGACTATGGTACCTATATATATATATATATATATGTAGTAACTATACATCTAATATGATAGTCAAGGATGATGTTTCAAGTCCCCAACCTTTGCCAATTCCGGCTTCTAATTTCTTTTGCCATTCATGGTCGGGTCTTCCATCCCTGTGATCAGCAATGTCCAAAGCCAAGGAAGATGGCACGATGATGGTGTCCGTGTCTTTGCTTCATTCAGCTGATGAGTTTTAGTGGATGCGGCGTTTGGGAAGCTTGGGTTCCGGAATCCCTGAGCCCCGGCCCCAGCCTCCCTCTTGTACATTCCTGGTGTCCTCTAGATGGCCATAGGGACGTTGAGCATAAACAATGATGTGTGAGTGAGCAATGCTCCAGTTCCGGAATTTCCTTTGGCATTGGTGATTCCTGGAGGGCAAGAACAACTGGACAATGGGAAACACAAACCCTGACCTCCCAACCTTGGAAAGCCTAACAGCCGGAGAACTCAGGAGCCCAAGATCGAGAATTCGGGCATCAAGCAGGGCACTTTCGTGAAACGGCACCGGGTGCCGCGGCCCAGCAGCTTAGGAGGTGCAGAGATGGGTGACGCTGGGATGTGAAGCCAGGAGTAATCAATCCCCAAGGTTATAGTGAGGACCATGTCAAAATAGTAATCTATCACTGCAGTTTCTGACATTCTTTTCTGACATACATACTACACACATACATACATACGTACGTATACGTACGTACGTACGTACACTACACATACGTACGTACGTACGTACGTACACTACCTACCTACCTACCTACCTATCTACCTACCTACCTACCTACCTACCTAGATACCTAGATGCCTAGATACCTAGATACCTAGATACCTAGATCCCTAGATGCCTAGATGCCTAGATGCCTAGATGCCTAGATACCTAGATACCTAGATACCTAGATACCTAGATACCTAGATACCTAGATACCTAGATACCTAGATACCTAGATACCTAGATACCTAGATACCTACATACTTACATACCTACATACCTACATACCTACATACCTACATACCTACCATCCATCCATCCATCCATCCATACATATATATAATGTCTGTTTCATGGGTTGCAACCACCAACCAGATGCTATACTTCCGGAAGCTTCACGGGTCGCTTCAGCTTGGGGATCCAGGTGGCTTGACGACTTGACATCCCCTGCTGCGCAGGAGGTGTCTACGGCTATGAAGATTTGCGAGTTGGACGATCCATTAGCCCTTCGTCTTTTCAGATGTTGTTTTTCGCTGTTTATTAAAACCCCAAAATGGGGGGGTACAGTAGTGACGCAGATGTGCAAAATCAACCATTTGTAGACTATTTATTTGGGGAATCGGTTTTCGACATCTAGTTTACCCTGGGGTATCCTCCAACATGGGAAGATGGTTTTAATGGATTTTCGTTCGTTTGCTTGGGGGGCTTACAGCGCCTCCCAGTAAAAAGATTGCCGTACCAGGCATCTATTCCAGAGTCTTCCGTCTCATTGGCGCAGATGAGTATACGCGCAAGTTCTACCAGGCCGCTCTGGGATTTCGAGTGAAGTAACCGCAGCCCATGGTATAGCCCAGGTTTTGATGTTATACAATGCATTTTTTTCATGATTTTTCCATCCATTTTATTTCCATGTGATTTTGTTCAGTTTGAGATCCATGGAACATGTGGTGAGGGCGCGCATGGCGAGACCATGCTGGAAGACCAGGAGAGCTCCTGCTGTGGCCAACCGAATGTCATCCAAAAAACATCCAGTTTCCCCTTCCCCCTAAATTTTCACCAACAATTTCAGTAAAAGCTCTAGTTATATCATGTTATATCTACTTCTAGTTCTTTTCCTTTCCCAGCGTTTTTCCAGGGGTTTTCCAGCTTTTGCCATGTCAGCTGCCGCCCGACCCAGGAGCTGCCACTGGACAGCTTCCGCGCCTCGGAGCTGCCGGACCCAGAGGAGCTGGTCTCGGCGCGGCGGGCCAAGCTGCAGGAGGCGAAGGTCGCTGCAGGGGTTGGGCTGGTTGGGGGTGTAGTTAACCTATGGTTTGGTTAATAAAACTGGTTGGTTTATAGGTGATATATCTGATATTATCTGATATATCTATAGATATCTATAGTTGGTTTATAGGTGATATATCTGATATTATCTGATATATCTATAGATATCTATAGTTGGTTTATAGGTGATATATCTGATATTATCTGATATATCTATAGATATCTATAGTTGGTTTATAGGTGATATATCTGATATATCTATATATAGTTGGTTTTTGTTGGTGATATATTTACTGTAATAGTTAAAACTATGGTTTGGTTACCCTCTGGTAAACAGTCACATAACTATGGAAAGTTCTTTCCCATTTTGAATGGGAAAACTCACTATTTCGACTGGGCCATTTTCAATAGCTATTTAACAAATTACCGGAGGGTAATAAGCTGGTTGGTTTATAGGTGATATATCATATGTCGAACTAGTTACTCTGGGGTAAAAGTAGATGGCTCAGAATCTTGAGTTGCGCCATCTATGTCAAAAAAAAAAATGGGGGATAGATGGCTCAACTCCCTTTAAAACAGGGCAGTTGAGCCATCTATGTCCCTAAAAATGACATATTTTTTGCAATCTTCTGCGCTGGTTTCTCCCCATTTTTTTTTCTCAACATCAAGCTGCTTTTTTGGGACATAGATGGCGCAACTCCCGGGGTTGCGCCATCTATGTGGGCATTCCCAGCCTGATTTTGGCGAAATGACGGAAGTTGTTTTGAGCCAGCAAAGGTCGAGACGCTTTAAAACCCAACTTTAACAAGTGACCTGAGGAACCGTTTTTGCCGTCAAGAAACGGTTCCTCAGGTCACTTGTTAAGATTTGGTTTTAAAGCGTCTCGACCTTTGCTGGCAAAATGACGGAAGTTGCGCCATCGATGTCCCAAAAAGGGACAACTCTGATGTCTTTCCTGGTGGTTTTGCCTCCTGTCTTGGGACAACTCTGATGTCTTTCCTGGTGGTTTTGCCTTCTGCCTTGGGATAACTCTGATCGATGTGGCATATTTTGGTTAGGTTGGTTGATGGATGTCGGGAGATATGAGGGAGTTGCGCCATCTATGTGGGCATTCCCAGCCTGATTTTGGCGAACGAGTTGGAGTTGCGCCATCTATGCCCAAAAAGGCAGCTTGATGTTGAGAAAAAAAATGGGGGGAAACCAGCGCAGTGCCAATTTTCCACTTGGGTTCGCCCCGGAAAACGGACCCCACCAAGTGTCAAGTTTCCTTTGGCAAACTCAGGAAAAAGCCACTTTTCGGGGGACTTGGTGGGGTCCGTTTTCCAGGGCCAAGCAAAGTGGCACAAGTGGCAAATTGCCAGAGCGTAGACGACGATTGCAAAAAATAGGTCATTTTCAGGGACATAGATGGCGCAACTCCCACTCATTCGCCAAAATCAGGCTGCAAATGCCCACATAGATGGCGCAACTCCCTCATATCTCCCGACATCCATCAACCAACCTAACCAAAATATGCCACATCGATCAGAGTTATCCCAAGGCAGAAGGCAAAACAACCAGGAAAGACATCAGAGTTGTCCCAAGACAGGAGGCAAAACCACCAGGAAAGACATCAGAGTTATCCCAAGACAGGAAGCAAAACCACCAGGAAAGACATCAGAGTTGTCCTTTTTGGGACATAGATGGCGCAACTGCCTCCTGTCTTGGGATAACTCTGATCGATGTGGCATATTTTGGTTAGGTTGGTTGATGGATGTCGGGAGAAATGAGGGAGTTGCGCCATCTATGTGGGCATTCCCAGCCTGATTTTGGCGAACGAGTGGGAGTTGCGCCATCTATGTCCCAAAAAGGCAGCTTGATGTTGAGAAAAAAATGGGGGAAACCAGCGCAGTGCAAATTTTCCACTTGGGTTCGCCCCGGAAAACGGACCCCCCACCAAGTGTCAAGTTTCCTTTGGCAAACTCAGGAAAAAACTCTTTTTCGGGGGACTTGGTGGGGTCCGTTTTCCGGGGCCAAGCAAAGTGGCAAAGTGGCAAATTGCCAGAGCGTAGACGATTGCAAAAAATAGCGCCAAAATCAGGCTGCAAATGCCCACATAGATGGCGCAACTCCCTCATATCTCCCGACATCCATCAACCAACCTAACCAAAATATGCCACATCGATCAGAGTTATCCCAAGACAGGAAGCAAAACCACCAGGAAAGACATCAGAGTTGTCCTTTTTGGGACATAGATGGCGCAACTGCCTCCTGTCTTGGGATAACTCTGATCGATGTGGCATATTTGGTTGATGGATGTCGGGAGATATGAGGGAGTTGCGCCATCTATGTGACATTCTGATTTTGGCGAATGAGTGGGAGTTGCGCCATCTATGTCCCAAAAAGGCAGCTTGATGTTGAGAAAAAAATGGGGAGAAACCAGTGCAGAAGATTGCAAAAAATATGTCATTTTTAGGGACATAGATGGCGCAATTCATTTTTGAACCCATCGAAGAAGAAATTTCGGGTGTTTGAATGGGGTTTAAGGGACATAGATGGCGCAACTCATTTTCAAGGTATTGCAATGCAATTGTATTTTTTTTTCAATATATTTTTGTCAAAATATGTTGAAAAATGAGATTTCTATCATTTCTATCCATAAAATTCTGTCCACAATGAGTTTTAAAACATTCAGTGGTTCATTTACAAGGTATTGCAATGAATTTGTTCGAAAATTTGACTGCGATTTAATTGACATAGATGGCGCAACTCATTTTTGAACCCATCGAAAAATAAATTTCTGGCGTTTGAATGGGATTTAAGGGACATAGATGGCGCAACTCATTTTCAAGGTATTGCAATGCAATTGTAATTTTTTTTCAATATATTTTTGTCAAAATATGTTGAAAAATGAGATTTCTATCATTTCTATCCATAAAATTCTGTCCACAATCAGTTTTAAAACATTCAGTGGTTCATTTTCAAGGTATTGCAATGGATTTGTTCGAAGATTTGACTGCAATTTAAGAGACATAAATGGCACAATTCATTTTTGAACCCATCGAAAAAAAAAATCTGGTGTTTGGATGGGGTTTAAGGACATAGATGGCGCAACTCATTTTCAAGGTATTGCAATGAAATTGTAAAAGTTTTTTCGATATATTTTTGTCAAAATATGTTGAAAAATGAGATTTCTATCATTTCTATCCATAAAGTTCTGTCCACAATGAGTTTTAAAATATTCAGTGGTTCATTTACAAGGTATTGCAATGGATTTTTTCGAAGATTTGAATGCAATTTAAGGGACATAGATGGTACAATTCATTTTCGAACCCATCGAAAAAGAAATTTCGGGTGTTTGAATGGGGTTTAAGGGACATAGATGGCGCAACTCATTTTCAAGGTATTGCAATGCAATTGTAAAAGTTTTTTTCAATATATTTTTGTCAAAATATGTTGAAAAATGAGATTTCTATCATTTCTGTCCATAAAATTCTGTCCACAATCAGTTTTAAAACATTCAGTGGTTCATTTTCAAGGTATTGCAATGAATTTGTTCGAAGATTTGACTGCGATTTAAGGGACATAGATGGCGCAACTCATTTTTGAACCCATCGAAAAATAAATTTCTGGCGTTTGAATGGGATTTAAGGGACATAGATGGCGCAACTCATTTTCAAGGTATGGCAATGAATTTTTAAAAGTGTTTTTCCAATATATGTTTGTCAAAATATGTTGAACAATGAAATTTGCATCCATCAATTCTGTCCACAATCAGTTTTAAAACCTTCAGTGGTTCATTTTTAAGGCGTGGCACTGAAAGTTTGAAAGATTTGAATGCGATTTAAGGGACGTAGATGGCGCAATTCATTTTTGAATTCACCGAAAAAATGATTCTGGCGTTTGAATGGGATTTAAGAGACATAGATGGCGCAACTCATTTTATACAATACAAATTTGTGCAATTTCACCGTATATACAAGCAAAAATGATAGGAAATGTAGTAAATTTAGTTAACAATACCCTTATGTCCATCTACTGGAGTGGCAGTTGCGCCATCTAATCCCTTCCTCCTAATACTAAACCCCCCCCCCCTAATACAAAACACGGCAGGTAGTTTTTAGTATTAGGGGGGTATTTATTATTAGGGAACCAAATCGAAGTCATGTTAATTAATTAATTAAATTTCCTTATATAACGCAATTAAAATATTGCCAAAAATGGCAGTTCGAAGCTTACCCCTAATACTAAATTAAAATCCTTAATACTAAAAACTATTTTTTCCGATGTCAAAATCAATTAAATTTCCTTATATAACGCAATTAAAATATTGCCAAAAATGGCAGTTCGAAGCTTACCCCTAATACTAAATTAAAACCCTTAATACTAAAAACTATTTTTTCCGATCTCAAGATCAATTAAATTTCTTTATATAACGCAATTAAAATATTGCCAAAAATGGCAGTTCGAAGCTTACCCCTAATACTAAATTAAAACCCTTAATACTAAAAACTATTTTTTCCGATCTCAAAATCAATTAAATTTCCTTATATAACGCAATTAAAATATTGCCAAAAATGGCAGTTCGAAGCTTACCCCTAATACTAAATTAAAACCCTTAATACTAAAAACTATTTTTTCCGATCTCAAAATCAATTAAATTTCCTTATATAACGCAATTAAAATATTGCCAAAAATGGCAGTTCGAAGCTTACCCCTAATACTAAATTAAAACCCTTAATACTAAAAACTAGCCCCCCTAATACTAAACACCCCGGGATGAATTAGTTTTTAGTATTAGGGGGGAGAACCCACAAATGGTAGGTTGATTTTTGAATTGTTTTTTAAAGGGGATCAATTAAAAGTCAAATTGGCCAAACTGAAATTTTCGGAAATTGGAGATGGATGCCTGTTTTTAGTATTAGGGGGACGTTTAGTATTAGGAGGAAGGGATTACCTTTTCATTTTAAAGTAGGGCGATTTTTTCTTCAATTGGCGGACCTCGTTTTATGTTCCAGCTAAAATAGCGCCGTTTTCTTTCTCAGCGCGCTGTGCCATCTTATGGGTATTTTGGTTTTTGAGTTGAGCCATCTACTTTTACCTCAGTGTAACTATAAGTGTTTTTTTTGTGGTCTATATCTACCATAGTTAGCTAAGTTGGTGCCAATAAGTCCAATTTCACTCTGGTTTTTGTTGGTGATATATCGAACTAGTTAATGGGATTATAACCCATGGGGGTGGGGATGGACTCCACGTTTTCCAGTGGATCCGACTTAGCCTTCGCCCGAATATTATAGACCCCCAGAAAGCATGGTTTAAAAGGGGATCAACCATGTATTTGGGACCATAGAATGGGGGGGCGCTTGATCTTCGGGTCATGGGATTAGTTACTTAGGTAATTTGAGTTAAAACCAAACTTAGATTCTGTTCAGTTTTTCTTGACATGGTGGGTTACAATTAAGCCGTTTGTAAGCCAACATCAACCCGGAGGCATCACCTTGATGGCGGTTGGGGATGGGGATGGGGCTGGTGTTGTACCTTTTGGTTGATATCAACATCCCGCTCCGAACCAAACAGCACAACTGGATGTGACAAGGGCTTGTGCATGACTCATGTGGTTATGGTAGGGGAAATGTAAGATATAATCAGGGCCAAGAAGTTAAGGGGATATGGAGCTAGCAAGGTGTTCTCCCATATTGGCAATGCGACCTTTCTTTCACTTTTTGCGAAACCCAGCTTTCTGTTTTCGTTGGTTCGTATGTTGCAGAGGACGGGCCCTCCAACTCATTAGTCAATGAGGGATGTGTGTACACATGACATGATGAAAGGTGGTGTGATCATCACAAAAGGATTTTGGAATGGAATGACCTCTGCGTCAAGGCGTATGCTAACCTGCCAGCATTGACGGGTTCTGAGTCCTTACGTAAGATCTATGATGAGCCCGATTAGCCATTCCGTCTCAGTAGTTGGAGGTCCAGCACATAGACCAAAACACTGCCTATTGTTTTTGCATGTTTTTGCAATTAGTTTGGTTCACGGTGAAAGCACAAGAAAAGCAAGGCAGAGCCCCGCGCCAGGAATACAATGAGATCGCTGTTGGAGGCTGCTGTCGGAATGAGAAGCTGCAACAATACCTGGAGAACGACCGCAGGGTTCTGCGCTTCCAGACCTTCTGGGATGAAAATGGGAAGTATGGCTCCAGAAAGTTTCCTGGCCAAACATTTGCTCCTGTTTATCATTGGTTTCGCTAAAATCCCATGCGTCGGGTCTCAGTCAGGATTCATATTTTCTTGCAACAACCATGGTGTGATTTTTCTGGCAATTGCCGGGGTAAAAACACACACCTTGCCCCTCAGCGGATTCCATCGTGTTCAGAACGAAGCAGCCAAGGTACTACACTTTGCACTACTATTTAGCTGATGACACGGTTGAAATGCTGGAAAATCTGCCCAGGACAGGGGCAACGCGGCAACGTTGTGATTCTCAACCCGCGAATGGCTTCCCGGTATTTGTGGGTGACTCCCTTTCCATTCCAATTCATGCATTGCCTGCCTTGCCATGATGTTTCTGGGGCATGAGGATTTCCAGCCTCTTCCCTGCGCGACAGGAACTCAGGCTGTGCGCCCTACCCCACCTTCTGGCGTCGTTCGCCGCTCCGGAAGAACCCCTACATCTCAGCCACTCCGGGGATGCTGGAACCCCCAGCCATGATCTACAAACCGGAGGAGCACGGATGGATGGCAGAAATCACATGGGAAAGCAGGAACTTCAGAGTGGTGCCATCTGTTAACTGTTGAAACATGTTTCGATCAAAGGGCTTGGAAGGTTGATGGACGAACTTTTGGCCATATATGGAAGGATCAGAATCAGAATCATAGTGCCAATAACACACACACATATATAATCATATATATATATAACAATAGTGATGCAATATATATACAGTATATATATATACTGTAGTCTTAATTCATATTAAAATTATTACATTGTAATAAGATTGCGAATAATGAGCCATAAAGGCAATAGTAGCAGTAAGAACAATCTTATTACAATTGCTATTATGTAATAAGGTCCCTTACAATCTCCATTAAAGCAATAAAGGAAATAGTGGTGAACAATGAGAATGTCCCCTTTATTTCACCACTCTTTCTGGTGCATTGGACCAGTCCCAGTCTCCAGGACCTGATCTGCGGACAGACCATTGACGTCATGGGGCGCCAGATCGTCTTGTACGACTGCGATGAGTTCACCCGCAATTTCTACAGGTCCTTCCTGGACCTGGAGCAGGTTTGTCTTGGGTCGGGTGCGTCGTACCCGGCTTGGGAGCAGCTTTTTTTTGGGGGTAGACCTGGTGTTTTATTTTGGGGAAGATGGTAGAACTCATGAAAAATCGCGAAACAAACGTCAGGTTGACTGGGGGGTTGTGGATGTAAGACAGTATAGGAATGTGGTTGGTGACCATATTGCAAGGAGCACATGACTTATTTTGGGTTGGGGCATGGCTCCAGAGGGCTTGTCTCAAGATGGTTGATGATCATAGTGGGGTATACGGTATACTTTACTAGGCAAGATATACTGGACATGATATATATATATAAAATAATAATAATAATAACAATAATAATAGTAATAATAATAATAGTAATAATAATAATAATAATCATCATCATAATCCTAATCCTAATCCATTTATTCATGTGGTCCAATTTTAGGCACCCAGCAAGTTTGGGCCCCTGGCCACGCAACTTGGGTCGCCAACGACGAATCATCGCCCGCAGGTCGGAACGAAGATTCATCATCCACCTCTGACACATGACACTTGACGCACCAGTGGCTGAGACACTGGGTTGGTAAATGTTCTGAATATGCCTGAAAGATATTCTGCTTGGTGGTTTCGACGACATTTTTCAAAGGGATGATGACATGATGACCCCCAGTGACTAAGATTTCTCGCGCTTTTGTTTCATAGCTTTGTTCGACTGCCAGAGCGTTTTATTCGTTCCTTTGCACCGCATTCTTTGCGCTGTCTGCTGTCTAAATATAAATATCATGAATTCTCAAACTCTTGATGATTTGAGTACGAATTGGGAGTAAACATGATGACAGCGACCAAATTTATAGGCTGTTTGGGTTCTCCCAGTCTTTGGCCATGGCTGCCCATTCATACGTTTCCCATGAGGTCAAGTTGCGATTTCCTCCTTATAACGGATTTGGTTCGGAGGAGCCCTGGGACCAAAGCGGGCCCCAAGCTTGAGGCACTTATTTCTACATCTCGATGCCTGTGCATTTGCTAGTCCCCCATGCTGCAAATTCCATCATCATTCTTGCTGAATGTATCCACATTCCTTCAGTGGATGTTGATGGGGGGTGCCAATTTTGAGATCAACAGCATATGCTATGCTGTTATCATATTTCTGTCTATTGTAATGTCGAATATAGCATCAGTTTACTCATGGCATCCACCCTAATTGGCCAAGTTGCCCAGATGTCAATTTCCACCATTAAACGTCGTCAAAGTGGCAAAGATTTCCTGTTCATTCAACCCATGTGGCATCACGTCGTGACGTCACTGTAATGATGGGAATTGAATCCGGTGAATCATCCCCAAATGGCCCTATGATAACAGCTGTTGTCAGGTGATAACAAATCTTATATTTCGGTCAGTTTTACTGTTTTAATTTCTAAAATACCTTCATTCTAACTTCAGAGAAATTGACTGAGCCTATCAGTTTACCGTCATTTTTTCCACATTATTCCCCGATATTTGCCCCATGCGTTGATGACTTTACCACATATTTACCACATATTTTCTGCATGAATTGATGGCTTCATGGCTTCACGGCCGGCAGGAAGATTCGTTGTCCAGCTGTCGGGGGCTCATGCCAAAGCCCCCGCGCCGCGATGAGCAGAAGCTCCTGGTGGATGCCGACAAGGCGGGAGCGAAAACACGGGGAAGGCTCCTGTGGGGAGCATTGAAGTGGATGATTTTACCATGATTTGTGAGCATTTATGGTGATTTACGATGATTTTATGATGATTTGTGACGATTTCGACACGCAGAAAGCCAACTATGTGGTTCTCTTAGGGCCCACCAAGGTTCTACGCTTTGAGGGCGTCCTTGCCGATGATGTCGAAGAGAATGAGAACCGGAAATTTGTCATCGCCGTCTCGCTCGGGGATGACAGCGTGGGAGCCGCCTGGCCAGGAAATCGTGGATCCATCTTCTGCAGCGATATGTGACCACCGAAGCCTTGAGAATTCCTGACACATGTTCTGCACAGAAGTCATTTTACAGCTTTTTGTGGAAGAATCACGAGGGTTCCAAGTCAGACATAGGGTTAAAAAAGGCTTATCTTCGTGTAGTTGCTTGGAGGTGCTGTCCCTGACGTTACCCAAAACTCTTGTTCGGGGATCAGTTTCGCCGGGATCCAGTTGCCTCGCTGCCGCTAGGTTTGGGAACTGAAGCAGCGCAACTCGGGGCACTCCGAGGGCAAGTTCGCCAGCCGCTCGCGGAAGAAGAACCCGGCCACGGGGACGTGGTTCAAGTCTGGAGGGCCCAGTTCCGGGGAACGGTGTGGGATGGGAGGGTGACAAAGGGGAGGAGCTAAGGAGCTATATGGGGCATATAGTTTTTGTTTGGGGGGGAGTTGGTCAAGAAAGGACCTTTTTATGGAATTTTAATCCGATACCTCATTGGCCGACAAAACACCATAAACGATGGTTACTGGGCGGAATGACCTCATTGATCGGAGCAGAAGGGCCTAAAGAGTTGATGACTGAGGGCGGTGGATTTCTATATCGGCGCCTTGCTGAGCATCAATGCTAGCCCGTTTCGCTTGACTGGAGCGGATGAAAAGGCTGCTTGGCTAATGGTCCATCCCTGTGACGTGGGCATTTTGTATGAAGGGTACAGCACGACCTGGTGGGATTCCCCCCTAGCCAAGGTCGTTTCCAAGTCCGAATGGAAAAAATGCCTTTTGGAGACCGGGGCCCCTAGACAGTTGTCCACAGCCCTAAGGCGTTGAGCTACATGGAAGAGCACCCGGAGCAATTTGCAGTGGCAGATGTTTCTTGCTTAACAGTAGTCGGACTCGTGAGTATCGTTAGTCGGAGCATGATAGCAGGTGGTGGGACAGGTGGTGGGCAATGCTGGGCATGTGATATAAAGCCTCCTTGCATCCCTTTACCCGGTTCACAAAGACCATTTCCCTCTTGGGAGCTGGGCAAGGGGCAATGAAAATTCAATGCTTCAGGTGCAAGTGATTCTTCAGAAGATTCAGCCTTTGGCCAGCTGGCTGCAGAAGCAGGAAGGAATGGTCAGCGGCAGGGGCCTCAGATGGTGAGATGGGAGTGTCCCATGGAAGTGGGGATTACCCCTGCAACCAGTACCATTGCATGGATGAACATCTTCAGATCCGATGGCGAAAAAAATCCTCGCTTTCAGCCAACTGGATGTTTCCAGACCACCACTTGCAGGAATGAGTATGAGTAAAGGAAACTTCCACCTTGATCAGTGAGAATCACACACACACATACATACATACATACATACATACATACATATATATATATATATGATATATACTGTAATCTACAAATCTGGAGGACGTCTCAACATTGCATGGATGAAGATGAACAACACTGAAGTGAAACTGGGGGTGCCTTGTGATTGTACACATTTGTATATACATTATATAGTTACCTATTGGTAATAGGCTATTGCTCCTATTGCCATTCGTTGATGATTGGAAATACTACTATTCTCATTGCCAGTTGGCAATTTAATAGGCACATCATCTATGTCTCTAACCTATAGTCACATGGGCCATTTTCCAGGTATGTTACATCGCCAGAAGGTAAGCATGTTTGCCACATTAGTCAATAGGAACAACTCATGTGGATCGTTATTAGTTTCATGATTTATTAGTTGGACATATTTACCCAAGTTTCATTATTACTACAGTTAATGAGTTTTTACTATGAGTTGCTATGATATAACTAACGTTAGTGTCTCATTAGTTACTTTGACATACTTGTTCACCAACTATTATTAATATTAGTTAACTATATTGGTGATACATCACTATTTTACCAATTAATATATGTATATACATTGTTCACCAACCTTTAACTATCATTAGTTAGTAGTAACTCATGTGTCTCATTCGTGTCTCACGGCAGGTGCCCAGCTCGCAGCAGCTGCCGAGGCGATCTTGCGATCGCAATTGAGCTGCCATTCGCAACGGTAATGGTGATGTAATGATGATTTTATGGACATATGCCCAAACATATGATATTGTTCTATCGGAATGATGCGGATTTCCCCGAATGACCAAGCATTTAGGGTTAGTTTGTCAATGAATTCTGTTTGATTCAGAGGGAGTTCTTTTGTAGACAAGTTCAGAAAAAAAGAAAGGAGCCCGCGGAATTTTTAGGAGATCTCAGGTGATGCGGAAGTATGACTTCCATTTCCCAAGACGTCCTGCTTGCAGGGTTTGTTAGAAGTGGAGTCACATCTCGGTTGAACTAGTGAAATGATAACGCCACTAATGGACATATATAATTATACATAATATATAACTATATGAACATAATAATAATAATAGTAATAATAATAACAATAATAATAATAACCATGATAACAATATGAAAAGTAATATGTGATAATCATACTGTACATTTAGCAAATGAGGTAACTCAGGCAAGTCGCTGTTGCAAAACCTGCGGCACCAGGGGCATGGGGCGCCGTTGCACGCCCACGAGATCCTCACCTTGTCGCGGAGCTTCGGTGGCTCGGTGTTAGCCGTGACTGAAGCTGTATATCTATAGCTATCTCTATTTATACACCAACACATTCGTATCCAATGAATATCTATATATATACACACACATATATATATACATACAGTATACAGATATAGAATTCTGCAGGCCATCGTAACTGGCAATGACGAGGGACTATGATTTTTAGGAACATCAAACACATGTAACCTTAGAGATTTTCTATCGGATCCGTCTGGAAAGAGAATGTGTGTTGGACCCGTATTACGGTGCCAACAAGATCAACAAGTCGACATGGGTTTTTAGCTGACCAGCGGATCTTGTTCTTACTCATTTGTACTCTACGTGTGCATCTATGTCTATCTCTGCATCTCCCCTCTACGTCTACGTGTGTTTTCTGTACCAAACTTTTGATTGCCTGATTGTTTGGGTTGGAATCCCAGAATTCCCAAGCACCAGGTATATAATCAGTGCTTGAGTCGCAGTTATCCGGTTATCCCAGATATTTCCCATATTTTCATTCAATTATCCTGTATGATTATCCCATAATTTCCGCTTTTTAGTTATACTTACACAATGGTTTCCCATATGCAACTATCCCGTAACTATCGCATAGTTGACTAGTGGGCCCTTTGGCAAGGTCATTATGTCTACTCCCTGAGCGACACAGCGGTGGATGCCGGAAAGCTCCTTGAAGCTTTGGGCTGAGTGGCTGGGCGTCAGCAGGGGAAAACCAATTCCGTGAAGATGCGACGCCTTGAAGATTCGCATGGCAGGGATGCATGGGAAACACTGTCTCACAATTGCCATACAGCAATTTCAATTTATGTGATGATTAACGTCAGAACACCCACACTAGACACACACACAGATATATATATATATAACATCATAACATATTCTATAAGGTTACTTACTTGATATTTTACCTGCACATATATCTCTGTATCCATCTCCATCTCTATATCTCTGTATCTCCACGGGTAATAGGGGAACTCCACTAATTAAGCCGCATTTTTTCTCCATTTTACATTTTAGGGGGGTGTTAGACACCATAGCAGAATTAGGGTTTCTGATTGGGTTTGCCGCATTCCCTAAATTTTAGCCCCGGCATGATCATCCTTCTCATCCTCCGTGCTTCAGGCAGCCTCTGAGCAGTTGGCATCATGTATCACCCAGGTCTGATTTGGGAGAAGAGCATTTGAGGTTTGGCATGGGGGCAATCCCTTCCCTTAAGATATCCAGCCCTGGAACCCTGTTTTGGTATTGGATCTATTTTTGCTGCATGGAGGATGGCATGATCCTCAATAGTTCTCAGTTTCGGGAAACTGATACGAAGTCCGTCGATGTCAGCCCGAGCATTGCTGCAGAGACTTCTTAGCCCTGGTGGAATCTCCCAAAAATCAGCACGCGGCGGTGCAAAACGCGCCGCCTCCAGCAACTCTCCGGAACCGCAAGTGAATGTTCCACCATGTTCCACCCAAGACGCGCAGAGGGGCGTGAATTTGCGAAGTCAAAGCAGGGGCAATTCTGCTGATCTGCGCATGGACCAAGACTTCCCGTGTTGGTTTGACCTGTGACACTGGTGCACGATAGTATTCAAGGCATCAAATAGCAATTGTGCACGATTTGTCGCTTGCCGAGGTGCTACGTGCCAGGTGCGGGGGTCCAATGGTAGATTCGTAGGCACCATCTCGTGGGAGCTCTGCGTTGTGGGGGGAGATACTTCGACGTGTCCTACAATATCCACTAAAGTTGGTTGTGTAACGCTGTAACCACTCTTTTTGCAGTTGCAGCATGTTGCAGCTGTTTTCTCAAGCATATCAAACTTTACGGATGTACAGTATTATGAATCATTAAATGTATTATACAGAGGTTGCAACCCATTTTTCGAGCATCAGGACTCTTCAGGACTTCAGAGATCATCCCAGTCGGTAGATGGGGATGGGTCAAAGCCTATCATACCATATTCTTCGGGATCCTATTTACCATATTTTATCATATTTTGATGTTCACCAGAGGTACAAGGTTTTGATCATTTTTCATCCATCACATCCCATCACCAGATCATAGAGTCATAGAGTTTACCTTTTTGCATCAATTGCCTTTGGGACTTCATGTGCTTCCCATGACCCCAGGCCCTGGGACTCCTGGGACCGCCAGCACCCCGCCATGGCCGCCCCCAACCTGGACGCCCTCTTCGGTGCCGACGACGCGCCAGCACCGGTGCTGCACCCGGCGCTGGACAGCGCGGTGAAGGCGCTGGTGGCGGACGCATGGCCGGTGGCACGAGGGGAACTGCTGGGGGAGGAAGCTGGGGGCAGCAAGGCCCGGATGGGAAGGGGTTGATGATGGTTGATGATGATTTTCCCAGCTATAAACGGCGAGAGAGAATTATAAAAAATCCATTTATATATTTAAGGGCTGCCGCCCCTGCCGCCGACCCCGGAAGAATTGGCAAGCCGTCAGAACGTATATATGGTACAGGCCTGCACCCCCCCCCAAAAAAAATGGGGAAAGGATGTTCCTGGGACAGTTTTACACGCATTGTTGCCTGTTATGGTTTTTATGTTAAAGGGGAACGTGCGTTCCTTGGTGTTGATGTTTTTTGTGATGTATGTTGTAAGACATTTTTGGTAAAAACGTTTCATCCTAACCTTGTTGATTATTTTAGGGGAGTATCATTGATTGGGTCAGGATTTGTTGAGGTTGTTAGGGTTTTAAAGTTTTCATTTATTCAACTAAGATTTGAAAAGAAGGGAATGTATCATTAAGATTGTCTATTATTTCTTGATGACTTAACGGTTCTGTCACTTCTTCATTGTTTGATTGTTTTTGTGTTTTTCCATTATCTTTTTGTTTTTGACCGGAATTGTTGGTTTGTGCTCATGGTTTTTTCTTTCCATTTCTTTTTAGGATGGTGTGTCTGACCACCCTTGCGTGAGTCGTAGGCTTCGCAAGGAAAAAGGCACATCGTAATAATTGGGTTTGTGAAATGGAAAGAAAAAAACATGGGCCCAAGTCAGCAGCATCAGCAGCATCATTAGCTTCAGCATCAGAATATATATATATTGTTATCACTGTTACAATTAAATTATTATCAGTATTTAGTAGATGAATTTGGTGAAAACATGGGGGGTTTTGATCTTGTGATCGTCCTGGTGGTAGCTACAGGCAAAAAGAATTTAAGGTACTGTATCACATCATCCTATTTGAGTTGGCATGTTTGTTAACTTACCCATTTTTCAGGTTCAGCATGGGGTTCATCCCGGTATGGTGTTGGTGCATCCCAGCTCGTAGCAGCAGTGTTTCCCATGGTTTTGCAGCGCTTGTCTTGGCGATGGACTGCTTCGCCCTCTACTCGAAGGAGGGCCGGGTGAGCGGTGGATTTTGAACGGCAAGATGTGTGATTTTTTGCGAAGCAAAATGGGGAATAAACAGAGATACGATGATCTGGTTGGTGCGTTGGAACATGAATTTTATTTTCCATATATTGGGAATTTTACAACCCCAACTGACGAAGTCATATTTTTCAGAGGGGTAGGTATACTACCAACCAGTGATATTTAATGGCATATATCCAGATAAAAAAAAATATAAACCCACTTGGAGGTTTTAATGGAACAAAACATCTATAACAGGGGGATGTTCAATCAACTTCGAAAAAAACATAAAAGCAGCTCCCGGCAGGAAAACACCATGGCTCTGAAGGACGAACTAGTTCCAAAACCACGCCAAAAAAGTGCCTAACGTCCCTTCTGAAATCCTAGAAAAACAACCTTTTTCCGAAAACAACTTCGAAAAAAGCATAAAAGCAGCTCCCGGCAGGAAAACACCATGGCTCTGAAGGACGAACTAGTTCTAAAACCACGCCAAAAAAGTGCCTAACGTCCCGTCTGAAATCCTAGAAAAACAACCTTTTTCGAGAATTTCTGTTGCCTGCGGCCGCTCGCAGGAAAACAACTTCGAAAAAATCACCTCCCCGGGGGGAAAACACCAGGGCTCTGAAGGACGAGCGAGTGCCAGAACCACGCCAAAAAAGTGCCTAACGTGTCGTCTGAAATCCTAGAAAAATCTAGATTAGATTTTTGGTAGGCTGCTGGCTACTGGCTGCTGGCTGCTACTGGCGCTGGCTGCTAGCTACTGGCTATGTGCACCTTTTGCGTGCTCTTGCCCACGTTCTTGACACCCATTAGTGCCATCCTAGAAAAACACAATTTTTCGTGCTGCTAGCTGCTGCACTGCTACCATTGCGCTTACTGCTGCTGCGTCTGCTTGTGCTGCCTGCTGCTGCCTGCTGCCTGCTGCTGCCTGCGGGCAGCTCCCCTTTGCGTCGGCCGGTCCCGTCTGAAATCCCAGAAAAACAACTTTTTTCGAGAATTTCTGTTGCCTGCGGCCGCTCGCAGGAAAACAACTTCGAAAAAAGCAGCTCCCGGCAGGAAAACACCATGGCTCTGAAGGACGAACTAGTTCCAAAACCACGCCAAAAAAGTGCCTAACGTCCCTTCTGAAATCCTAGAAAAACAACCTTTTTCGAGAATTTCTGTTGCCTGCGGCCGCTCGCAGGAAAACAACTTCGAAAAAAGCAGCTCCCGGCAGGAAAACACAATGGCTCTGAAGGACGAACTAGTTCCACAACCACGCCAAAAAAGTGCGTCAACGTCCAAAAAATCCTCGTCCCGTCTGAAATCCTAGAAAAACAACCTTTTTCGCAGGAAAACAACTTCGAAAAAAGCAGCTCCCGGCAGGAAAACACCATGGCTCTGAAGGACGAGCTAGTTCCAAAACCACGCCAAAAAAGTGCCTAACGTCCCGTCTGAAATCCTAGAAAAACAACCTTTTTCGAGAATTTCTGTTGCCTGCGGCCGCTCGCAGGAAAACAACTGCGAAAAAAGCAGCTCCCGGCAGGAAAACACCATGGCTCTGAAGGACGAACTAGTTCCAAAACCACGCCAAAAAAGTACCTAACGTCCCGTCTGAAATCCTAGAAAAACAACCTTTTTCGAGAATTTCTGTTGCCTGCGGCCGCTCGCAGGAAAACAACTTCGAAAAAAGCAGCTCCCGGCAGGAAAACACCATGGCTCTGAAGGACGAACTAGTTCCAAAACCACGCCAAAAAAGTGCCTAACGTCCCGTCTGAAATCCTAGAAAAACAACCTTTTTCGAGAATTTCTGTTGCCTGCGCCCGCTCGCAGGAAAACAACTTCGAAAAAAACATAAAAGCAGCTCCCGGCAGGAAAACACCATGGCTCTGAAGGACGAACTAGTTCCAAAACCACGCCAAAAAAGTGCCTAACGTCTCTTCTGAAATCCTAGAAAAACAACATAAAACAACATAGAAAAACAACATAAAACAACATAAAACAACCTTTTTCGAGAATTTCTGTTGCCTGCGGCCGCTCGCAGGAAAACAACTTCGAAAAAAGCAGCTCCCGGCAGGAAAACACCATGGCTCTGAAGGACGAACTAGTTCCAAAACCACGCCAAAAAAGTGCCTAACGTCCCGTCTGAAATCCTAGAAAAACAACATTTTTCGAGAATTTCTGTTGCCTGCGCCCGCTCGCAGGAAAACAACTTCGAAAAAAACATAAAAGCAGCTCCCGGCAGGAAAACACCATGGCTCTGAAGGACGAACTAGTTCCAAAACCACGCCAAAAAAGTGCCTAACGTCCCTTCTGAAATCCTAGAAAAACAACCTTTTTCCGAAAACAACTTCGAAAAAAGCATAAAAGCAGCTCCCGGCAGGAAAACACCATGGCTCTGAAGGACGAACAACCTTTTTCGCAGGAAAACAACTTCGAAAAAAGCAGCTCCCGGCAGGAAAACACCATGGCTCAGAAGGACGAGCTAGTTCCAAAACCACGCCAAAAAAGTGCCTAACGTCCCGTCTGAAATCCTAGAAAAACAACCTTTTTCGAGAATTTCTGTTGCCTGCGGCCGCTCGCAGGAAAACAACTGCGAAAAAAGCAGCTCCCGGCAGGAAAACACCATGGCTCTGAAGGACGAACTAGTTCCAAAACCACGCCAAAAAAGTACCTAACGTCCCGTCTGACATCCTAGAAAAACAACCTAACGTCCCGTCTGAAATCCTAGAAAAACAACCTTTTTCGAGAATTTCTGTTGCCTGCGGCCGCTCGCAGGAAAACAACTGCGAAAAAAGCAGCTCCCGGCAGGAAAACACCATGGCTCTGAAGGACGAACTAGTTCCAAAACCACGCCAAAAAAGTACCT